GCCCTCGTTAACTGTCCCTGCAGGGCACTGCCCAAAAGGACGGGGGGGCAGCGCCCGGTGTCACCTCAGCTCCCCTCAGCTCCGGATCCTTGTGTTCCTGCTCTGCAGCACAGCCAGGGCAGCCACAGGCAGCTCCATGTGCAGTGCCCAGCAGGGCAGGGGGCATCAGCAGGGCTGATGGTGCACTGGAGGTCATTGCTGAGCAGTGAAAGCCACACAGAGGTGCCGGTGTCACAGTGCCCAGCCAGCCCGGCCATTGCACATCCCTGCTGTGCCAAGGACAAGACCCTGAGGCCAGCCCAAAGAGCCACTGCTGGCCCTGCAGGGCTGCTCCCCACAGCCCTGGGGACATCCATGTGTGCAATGCACCCTCAGGCCCTCCCTGGTGCAGCTGTTCCCAGCTGCCTCCCCTGCCTTGACAGCAGCCCCATGGGGATGGGTTCCTGAGTCTCTCCTTGCCAGCAGGTCCTGGTGCAGAGCAGGAAGGCAGCCGTGGCCACAGAGCAGGGATGGCTCTGTGCTGGTGTCCACTCTGCCTGAGGCCACCAGAGCACTTTGGCATGCACCAGGATGCTCCAAGCCCTGAGGGTGCTCCAAGCCCCAGTGCTGCCCCTGATCCAACCTCCGGCTCAACACCCAGAGGTGCCTTGGGGCTGAGCCCTGCCCTGTCCCACCCAGCTCCTGGGATATCCTGTGCTGCAGCAACCCCCACACCTGGATGACAGGGACAGTGAGCAAGTGCTCCTGACACATCCCTGGAACGTCCACAGCACATTCCCAACACGTCCCCACTATTCAGCACTGACACGCAGCCTCAGTGCTGGCTCACATGCCTGGGCAGGGAGATATGGGCAATGCCAGCAGCCCACGCCTCAGGGGTGCCCAGTGCCACCCTGGCAGCCACCATCAGCAATGACACCCTGTCCTCAGCGGGGACAGCCACCTGCAGCCTGTCCCCAGGCACACGGGCACTGTCGCCCATGGCTGGCTCCTCTCCCCGCCACCTTGGAGCTAGTGAAACACAGCTGGCAGCTGCCAGGCTTCAGCCACAGTGCCCCACCAGTGCCCATAGCCCTGCTCTGGGGGACAGGCTGGGGCAGGGCAGGAGGGGACGGGCAGCAGGGCCCCAGGTGCCAGGCAGGAGAAAGAGGCATATCCAGCCTCCCTTCACGGGGTTTCTGTGCTGCCAAGGCTCTGGGATAGGGGTATGGGGGCAGCCATGGGGGAACTGCACCAGTCCCTGGGCCAGGACAGGGGTCACTGAGCTCCCAGAGCCAGCAGTGACGTGCCGAGCTGGAGAGCAGCAAGGGGAACTTGGGATCTCGTGGTGAGAGCAAGGCCAGAGCCAGGGGGTTTCCAGGGTTTAAAACACACACGAAGGAAAGAGCTGGAGCTGCAGCTGCCCCAGCACCCCCAGAGCAAACCGTGGCTGTGGTCACAGTGCAAGCCCAAACAGCCCGAGGGCAGGGGCAGGAACACCTGCCCACCATCCATCTGGCACACCAGCAGTGGCGACAGGAGGTGCCCTCGTCCTTGGGGCGACCCATGCGGCGCCACCAGTGCCCAGGGCAGCCAGCCCAGGCGCGCTCCCGAAAACCTGTCTGCTAGCATCATGCTGGGAAACAGAAACCTGGCTGGAAGGCAGGGCATGGGGCTCCGAGCCTGCCAGCATCCAGCCCCTTGGGGAGCAGGTCAGCACCCCCAAAGAACAGGTCCTGTGCCTCACAACACGGATGTGGCACCTACCAGGGCTGGGGCCGTGCAGGATCCAGCTCTGTTCCCAGCAGGCTGCCTGTGGGACTGCCCGACCCTGCTCAGAGCCCTCCAAGGAGCGCGAGCTGTGCTAACTATTTTGGACATGGCACCACGGGACTGTCACATCACCGCTCTGCACGTCGCATCACGTTGCTCTGACGGTTTCGCAGCAGCGGCTCCCGCGCTGGGAGAACTCCCGAGCTGCTGCTCCCAAACACGGCACTGGCGGGCAACCAGCTCGCCCTCCCTCTCCTCCGTGCCAAGGGAGAAGAGCTGGAGAAGCTGGGGGAAACCTGGATAAGGACAAACCTCTGCCTGCTCCCTGCCTTGGTGCTCATCCCTATGTGCACTGCATCCCTCTGCCCACCTGGGCAGCTCCGCAGGTCACACCCTGCCCTGGCTGCCCTTCAGGAGTTTCTGGCCTCCGGTGCCACTGGCTGCCCCGCACATGGTGGGTCCTGGTCCCTTGAGTGAAATCCCGTCCCTGCTGGTGGCTCCGACATCAGGACAGCAGGACAGGAAGCAGCCCGGGCTGCCCAGTCATGCAGGTCACCCACACGGGACAGGGCAGGGATGGTCCCTGAAGGAGGACATGGTGCAAAACCGCCCGTGCTGCTTCAGCTCCATTCTGTGCTCACGGGAGAGCAGCCAGTGACCCACAGGGTGGCC